CAAGGAAACTTTCCAATGGTAGCACTCTGCATTTGTATTAATATCATTTGAATATAATTCCAGTTCACAGTAGTGACATAAATACTGTCTAGAAAATCTTAGATGCCCTGTTTAGAAATTTTACAGTGTACTACACTTGAGTTCCTCTTTAGACAGCATTACTAACATTTATGACAAATTAATTGCTTCTCTTTTTCCTTTTAAATGTATTTTGTGGCACTCATGGGTTTGAAAGGCTGCTTGTGTTTTCTGGATATTCAATTTAGTATAACTGAGATAATTGTCATAATTTTTATGATTAAGATACATAAAAAATAGCTTTTGGTTTTCACAGTAGACTAAAACAGTACGCTGCCTGACCTGACTGACGGTTGGTTTACCAGGAGGGTCCTTGTGAATAATCATCTGGTAACGCTTATAAACCTGGTAAGACTCCTGAAATGTGGCTTTGAACTGGGAACTTTGTGGAGATGATCGCACCAGCCTCACCTTCCAAAGAATTAAAAACAATTGTTGCAATAATATACATCATGAATCTAAATGTTTGAAAGCAATATAGATAACATTTAAACAGTTATTCTTGTTCATATTTTAACCCAACATTGTATAGATATTTTTCATAAACAGAACATTTAGCTTTATTTTGTGTCACTATTCAAAGCTCAAGTTCCAACCACACTGCCCTTCATTTAAATGTTTTCAAAAGATTGTAGACAAAATCTGATCTGAAGCAGTCATGTGATGTTCAAATGTAAAGTAAATGTAAATGTAACATATATGTTCATGCACACACACCACACACACAATCGTATTAGCATTAGTTTGGACTTTGGTAATCAATTAACATTTACATGCTATTTTGAAACACAACTTTTTTTTAGATTTTCTTAAATCTAATTGTATATTAGATTTATGATGATTATTTTAAGGATACCTATTCAAGTTTGAATGTACTAAAATACAATCTTGATGAATTCCTTAACATGTTTAATGTGAAGCGTCACAAAGTTCAGTGGTGAGCAAAATAAATTTGTTTAGGTTTGCATTAGCTAATTCATGTGCATAAGTTTGTATTATCCTAGAATAGGGATCTTCAAATTTGGCCCTTTTATGACTTGTGGACCAACTCCCAGAATTCCTTAGCCAGGCACATTGGCTGAAGAATTCTGGGAGTTGAAGTCCACAAGTCATAAAAGGGCCAAGTTTGAAGACCACTGTCCTAGAAGCACAAAAAACCTCATGTTTGGAATCAGCTATTTCTACAATATTATTTTTTAAAAAAATAAATATTCTTTTAAAAATTTAACCAATGTGCCCTTTGGATTATCTTCACTCTATCAAAAGCAATGTTTTGGTACTGGAAAACATGGCATTGGCTATGGACAATGAAGATTCAAAAGATCAAGCAAACATGTTGTTGTTGCCATGTTCTACACTGAACAGTGCGTCCCAATGCCCTGGCAGATAGAAATCAATACAGCAAGTGACACAGAGGTCACATTAATGCTTGGCAGCAATCAAGAAACTCAGGTTAAGCATCCTTTTGGTTCAGAGACAGCATAAACAATAACAAGACTAGGTGAAATCCAGGAAGCAGCACATAGTAACGGAATTGTGTCAGAAAATAATGTGGCAAGAAATAAGTTCCTGGAAGGAATAGAAGACTAGAAATGGAATAAAGGATAGTCAACATGGTAAACATGGTGCCATGAGTTTTTGTATAGTTTTATGTGATTTAATTTCTGGTTTGAGGGGATTAGTTGGTTTTAATGTTTTTTATGCCACCCAGGGTTGCTGTTACAATATGGGTGGTTATATATCTTTTTAAAAAACAACAACATTAAATTGATACTGAAAGTTAACAAGACACTCTTTTTTAAGCCAGGGTCTTAAAAACTATGTTCTTTGAACATTTACTGCTTTGGCATAACTGCTAAGGAAACTTCATTTAAAATAGTTCTTTAAGTAAAGCATATTTAACATTAACAAATGCCTGCCATGTTAGTAAAAATGGAAAATTTCCATTATTAAAGGTACTGATCACCTCTCTTTCTTTACAATTAGATGTTCTCTTCTTATCAAGTTTACAAATATTTATGTTTGGGTAAAATCACTAATTTGAGTAGCAAAGTCCTTCTCCCACAAGCATTATTTTTCTGATATTCAAAGAAATAACAAAAAAAAAACTGCCATCAAAACACCTGCCTCCTAGCTATAACTTGGGACATCACCCAAAATTAATTAAATCAATAGTACGATTAACAATTGCTCCAAAAGTAATGGATATACGTATAATACACAGAATTTTACACATCTAGTTAAGCTAGGACATTATCACCTAAAAAATGCCTACATTCATAGACACATATTTCATTCCAGGCTTCACCAAATGGTTGAAAATATACTTTTTATAATTTTGTTCCAAGGATGGTACATTTTAGGTTCTCATTAAAGTTATAGGTATCAATATCTTTGTTCTGTAGCATTTCATTCATTTAGATGGAACCACAGCACCCCCTTGTGTTTCTGCAAAGAACACGAAACTTTTCAAGTACAGGTAGTCCTTGACTTACAATTCGCTTAGTGATCCTTAGAACTTACAAAGACACTGAAAAAAGTGACTTATGACCCTTTTTCACACTTAACGACCATTCAGCATGCCCATGGTCATGTGATCAAAATTCAGATGGTTGGCAACTGACTCATATTTACGACAGTTGCAGTGTCCCCCCTTTGCGACCTTCTGATAGGCAAAGCCAATGGGGAAGCCAGATTCACTTAACAACCATGTTACTACAGTAGTGGCCAAAATTGTGGAAACCTTTTGGAAAAAGTGTATTTTTGAGGTTTGATGGCTAATAACATCACTCTTTTTTGGAATAGTACCATAAAATTATATATCAATGGAAAGATAATTTAATCAAGAATGTAATGCAACAAAGGTTGTTCAATTATCTGTACTGTATTCTATGAAAAGTTATAGCCAAATAAGCAGAAAAAAGAAGCACAACTTGCTTAGGTTGATATCAGGTAGCGTTCCTTCATCTGATTGTAGTCAATGAGCATGAGTGTTTAGAGAGCCAATCAGATGTCATCTTGTTTTGGAAATGAGCCAATCAGATCACAGTAGGATTCAGTTATTGATGTCATGTATTGAAGCTGAGAGGAGGACATTTGTCAGTATGTTATGTGATCACTATCTAATTGGTTGGGGGTTTTTTTGTGTTCTTTCTTTAGTGAGCTTGTAAAATGTAATAAAATTAAAGTAACGGTGCAAAGAGTTGACTGGTTGCCCAGAAAGCGATGTAAAATAGTATTATTAAGTGAACAAGGCTACAGTTATAAAGAAATTAGAAGAAAAATTGGTGGAAACTTAACCAAAGGTGGCATTTCTACTGTACACTTTTCCCAAAAGGTTTCCACATTTTTGGCCACTACTGTAACTTAACAACTCTGCAGTGATTCATTTAACTGTGGCAGGAAAGGTTGTAAAATAGGGCAAAACTCACTTAACAACCATCTTGCTTAGCGAAGAAATTTGGGGCTCACTTGTGGTTGTAAGTTGAAGGCTACCTGTACAAGTTAACACTATTTATGTTTTTCTAATTCAAAACTTTGCAGTGTTCCCTGGTTTCGTATTTAAAAAAACTTCCCTATTTTGCTGACTGTATTGCTTAGCATTAGCAAACAATGCAAAAATACTTTGCCATAAGCAATAGAAATATCTTCATACCTCTATCTGATGCAGAGCTTCGGAAGGTAAGCTGGCAAAAATGAAGTCTTCGACTGATTTTGGTTGGTTGGTTTTAGGGCAGCAGTTCCGACTGGTGAAACTCTGAGACCCTGATTCAAGTGAAACTGGCCACGTCTGGCACTGCAGTTTTTTCTGCAACTTTTGTTCCTTCCGTATGACTTTTGCTTTACGACATGGTGGTTTGCTCAAGTCAGCTCCTCTGCCTAGAATGCCAATATATTATTCAACGGGAAAAGCATATATTGAAGGAAGCCACGCTCATTTATTTATTTTTTTACTTTTAATATGACTGTCTACAAAGAAAGCATTTCTTTAAAAGAAGTTAGGCATTCTGTAATATTTCGATTGTTGCGATTCCACTAATCATGGAAATGTTAAGGTTCTAGTATCCTCTTATTTATTATTATATCTGCAAGCTACTTTATCACACTCTAACTCTAGAGCAGTGTTTCTCAACCTGGGCAACTTTAAGATGGATGGACTTCAACTCCCAGAATTCCCCAGCCAGTTGCTGGCTGGGGAATTCTGGGAGTTGAAGTCCATCCATCTTAAAGTTGCCCAGGTTGAGAAACACTGCTCTAGAGAAAAATGGACTATATAATGATTATGACTTTGATACAACAGAAAGCTTGCCTTCTATCCAGAAAAAAGGATCTTGTAATCAAGATTACATTGAAGCTTTGATAGAGGATAAGAATTTTTTTCTGCTCTAAGTTATTTCATTAAACGGTCAGGTTTATATCCCAAAACTCATATACAAGATTAACTACATAACTGTTGAATAACAAAATCCATATTCCTAAAAAAGGGGGAATCGAAAGAAGCAACACCACAGCCATCAAAAGAACTAAAAAAAAGGCATCAGTGTTATTCTATGCTTGCTGGGGGGGGGAAATAGGCACATCCGGGGCACATTTTAGCAGGCGCAAGAAATATTTGGCAAACGAAAACTTTCCTCCTTTTTCTAGTACAGCGATTCTCAATTTTGGCCTTGAAAGATGTGCAGACTTCAAGTCCCAGAATTTCCCACCAGCACTGGAGTTGAAGCCTACATATCTTTAAGCTGCTGAGTTGAGAAACACTGCTCTGGCAGAATGCCTACTGAATACAAGTAAAAAACACAAAGGTTATTTGTTGAACCCAGACAAAGATGCTAATTTATGTATCCAATATAATGAAATAAGTCTGAGAACTGTGAACTAACAAACTTACAAGTACCTTACCTGAGGGAGTTAATGAAATGGTGAAGATAGCCAAGCTATACAGTAACATTTTGTTTTTTACCTTTATCTTTAGCAAGTTTCTTGATAAATAAAAGAGGCATAACACATTTAATGTTAGAACTTAGTTAAGCAGAGCTTAAGTTAGTTTAAACAGCTACAATTAATTCTAGTGTTTTTTTCTCTAGCAAAAAGGAAAACCTGAGCAAAAAGGAGAAAAAAAATTAATAAAAGGATGAAATACATTTTCTTATGTTTGGCTGAGAGACAGCTACAATAAATTCTGTTCTAACTAACTTAATACCGGGTAAAGACTCATGTAAAATAACAATGCCAATATGTCCTTTTGTGAAAAGAGGATTTTCTAAGCCCGTCCTTTTAGACAACACTGGCAAAAAAATTATTCAAATGATAGGGTTTATCATGCAATTATTAGCCTCTGTTTTTCTCACTATCTTGGAAGAGGTAAAAGACAGCATAAAATAGCATTACCTGGCTTGGGAGTAATGTCTGCTATCTGTAATGACCTGCTAGAATCGGCATTCAGTTCTGCATTACACAATTCAGAATTTTTTGAGTCCACTTCCTTTACATTTATTTCTTCTGTCATCTCTTCCTCTTCCATGGTGTCAGTACTGAGGGGCTGCAATTCACATTGGCTTCTGACAGGTGGATTTTTTAAAGGAAAACTACAGCCGTCAGCTTCTTTGTTATGAGACTCCATGGGATCTACTGTAAATAATAATGTAGAAAATACACATACAAAGTAGGAAAATTCAAATTTTACGTTAATAAAAGATTAATATTTCTACTTTAACATGAACAAATTACAATTTTCATCTCAATTTTAGCATACATAAATGATCCCACAATATAATTGAACTCTCAAAATAAATTAATTCAATTTATGTATCAACTGACTCCCAAGACTCTAAAAAAAATACATTACTTTCAAGAGAAATTGTACAATCATTTCACCCATGCTATGTACATACAGAGTGTAAACACAGAATGGATTTAGGTGACACCTCATACATTTTATTATGAGACTGAACAAAGGAGTCACTTTTAAAGTGGAATTCTAACAACATATATGCCTTCTTAACATGGCAACTATTTGAATACAGCAACTGAGAAAGCAAAGAAGACTCAAATTTTCTGAAAACAACAAAAAACAGGAAGCAGTAACAGTTCTTTTAGTGACTGTTCAAAGTTACAATGGCACTGAAAAACGGGACTTATGACCGTTTTTCACAGTTATGACCTTTGCAGCATCCCCAAGATCATGTGATCAAAATTCAGATGCTTGGCCACCGGTTCATATTTATAACCATTGCTGTGTCCCCAAGGACATATGACCATCTTCTGTGACCTTATGACAAGCAAAGTCAGTGGGAGCGTATTTTCACTTAACAACCGGGTTACCAACTTAACAACTGCAATGATTCATTTAACAATGGTGGCAAGAGAGGTCATAAAATGGGGCAAAACTCACTTAACAAATGTCTCACTTAGCAACAGAAATGTTGGGCTGAATTGTGATCGTACGTCAAGGACTACATGTATATCAGTAGCTGGACAGAAGAATTACCGAGATGATATGATTTGTATTCAATATATTAATGATGAGAAATTAAACATAAAAAAAAAATATTTTAACAATGTGCAAAAAGATTTGAATCATAATCTATTAAAATAATATACAATAATACTGGTTTCTAACATCCCCTAACTCTAATCTCAACTAATCTATGGTTTATAAATCTTTATAACTTCTAATTTCAGTTCTTTAGGCAGTTCTTTTTCCTCTTTAAAAACTATACGTACAAATACTTCATATATTACACTTTTGCTGTGTAATATATAAATGTTTGGAAGCCTTTCTTGCTTAAACTTTGTTAAGCTTCTGTTGCTAATATACTCTGTTAATTTTGACACTGCAGCATATTCTCCAAGTTTAAATTCCCAATCACTGGTAACATATCACTTTGCAAACGATGTGCTAAATTTATTTTTGCAGCCTTGAATATGTATTTTAATACAATGTGATCTTTTAATTAATATGTTTTGGGAATTATGTCCAGTCAAAGCAATTATAATTTGACTTCTAAAATGTTTTGAATAACGTTATGTATTTTGTTCCAATACTTTTAAGGAGTATTTTTTTACACGTCTACCACAGAGTTCCCCAATCTTTCGGGGTTAGAGGCCCAGAGTGAAGGGGGAGAAAGAAGGGATGGTTTTTTGGGGGGGGGGGTAAATGCATGTGCGCACACGAACACCCATTACTCACATGAGTGGAGCTGGGAGCGCTCGCAATGCTTGCACGAGTGGGGCTGCGAATGATGACACTCACATGCACGGACACACACACACACCAGCCAGCCCCTCATGCAGCCCGGTGGCCGATAGTGGGCCACAGCCCATAGGTTGGGGATCCCTGGTCTACCACACATGATAAAATGTTCCTTCTCTCTCAAGGCATTTTCAGCATTATATGATTTGTCTATTTTGGCAATTATTGATGGAGTTGTATACCAAAGACAAATGAAGAACAATTTCATTAAAGCTGGGAATATACCACGATTGTTATACACACAAATTGCTGGAAGAATAAAAACTGACCCCAAAAGATAGGGATCTTCTAAAAAAAAAAAGATAGAATTTAAAATCCTCATACAAAATCAATTCTACTTACTAAAATGTATATATTTAGAACACACACTGCAAATATCAAAATAGTGGATCATTTCTGCCTTAGGATCAACCATGAGCAGTAAAGGAACAAACAGTCAAGAAATATGCCAGAGATTAATACTTGGTAGAAAGCCATGAAGGCCTTGGATAAGGCTGCATAGAGTAGCCTCAGGGTGAGATAAGCTGCAAAAAAATATTAATAAATAAAATAATAACAAAAGATGTTCAACAGATTAGGGATAGATCATCGTGGAGAAAATTTATCTATGTGGTTGTTAGGAGTTGAAAATGACTTAATGGGACATAATAACACTGTTACTCAGATATGACAGAGACAGAACACATAAAAACTGCAAATGGATGAAAATTTTAAAGAAACAAGTCACAACAATGAGAATTATGAAAAAAATCTATAAAATATTCTCCAAATTCTAACTTGAAACTGATACAGAAATATTGTACAGTATTTACAGTATATTATTGAGTCAATTAAAACTACCTGCTTTTTCAAAAAATTCCAGAATACAGCAACAAATAACACTTAAAGGACACTAAACAATTACCTTCAACATCTGCTTTAGAATGTTCTCCTTTTATTAAAAATTTTAACATCTTCTTCAAAACTTTTTTATGTGATTTGGAAGGTTGGAAGTGTAATACTTGGCATCTCAAAGGAAAAAAAGAATAAGCGCAATCAAGGTATGCCCTAAGTAATATAGTAATTAAGCATACTTATGTAGATAAAGCTATGTAGATATAGTTATTAGTAATATATGTCATATGATTAGTAGTGTCAAAACTTGTGATTATTCTTTGCATAAATTGGAATTACAAATCCTGTTTAAACAATTGCATTTTTTCTGGAATTAAAATCCAGTGAAGTATGCAGTCTCTCAATATGTTTTTTTAATGTACAATATTATCAATATTTACACAGCATTTTGACAAAAGGCTACTTAAGCACGTTATTAACACTGTATACACAGAATAATCTGATGTAAATGTCTCTATCTGTTATCTGTGGATAGAAAGAAACTACAAGCAGGAGTAAATGAACTGGTAAATGAGGTACAGAATATTCCAATCTTGTCTTAGGTTTAGTCTAGAAATCATGCATCCTTCAAGATGATGGATAACCCTCCTCTGCTCTCACCATCACAATGCAATTAACTGTTGAAGGGGGGCAAAGTGCAGCATCTTCCCGAAGACGAGTAAAATGTAAGAAAGTTATTAATATGAAAAAAATAACAAGGCTGGAAAAGAGAGTTCCATCCAGGGGTCAAAAATGCTATTTTTCTGAAACATCTTCCATATATCTAGACAAGCTCCCTCAATGTGGCCCCAGTGGAATGTAGTAAGGATCATGCTGTTCCAGAGAGCCTTGGGGACAGATTGAGCACCATCTGAAGCCAGTTTTTATTTCTAATTTTTTAATTAGCTACTTAGTATGGTAGTTGATTTATTGTAGTTTGTTTGTTTTGCATTGGTTTTACTCATTTAATTTTATGTAAGTCTTAAAATTCTGAGGCAGGTAAGTTTGATAAATAATTAAATATTTTTTCTTGACTAGCTAGGTCATCAGTATGTTTGCCTTTATAAAGATTTTAATACAAACTTTCATCGTATAGCAAGTCTTTGATAACCATCCCATAGCCTAACACGGCACACGTGCTCTAACATGAAATCTGTGGAATCCCAAGTTTAAATAAAATTTATTATTAATAATTAAAACAAAATATAATCTCACAACATCACCAAATCTAACAATATTCCAGTTAGTCCTCTTTGAAATCTTACAAGAATTTAGTCAAGAATACAAAACTCTCACAGGTATTTTGAGTGAAAATATTAAGAACTTGCAAGATTTTGATATATAATAAGATCTGAGGCTTCTTAAAGCAGTTTCATGTAGGCATTTCTTATGATTACTTACAGCATTCTATGGGAATTATTAATTACGGTAGAAACCATTCTGCTATATAATTGCTAACTCATTTAGAAGGCAAATTAGGCTGTGACTTGCTAAACACATAATGCTAAATGGACATTTGAATCTATCAATTGCACAACACAGGCAGTGAATTAGAAAAAATATTAAGTATTGTGCATGTCTTACCTTATTGTATATTGAGGACAACATGTCCGATTCATAGTGGGTTTATAAACATACTTTCCACTCCTGTGAATTTAAAAGATGATGAACATATTTTAATGAATTCTTAGTGTTCTTAAGCTAAAATATATACTTAATAAATAAATATTAATAAAATATATAATACTTAGAGATGAAAAAGCTTTATATTATACAAGAAATTTATAAGTTGTACAGAAGCCATTCAAATCTTTCATGCATGAATATATATCACATACATCTTTTGAGCTTTATAATGTTAAGCAATCTCATCATCCCTTTGATGAAATGATGCTGGCAAAAACAATGTCTTCATCTTCATTTCCTGATATTTTTACAATATTATAATATTTTGGATGGCTACAAATATTGGCTAGTTATCCTAGACCCTAGCAATTTAGCTCTTCTAACTTTAATGGACATTTTCCAAACTACAGATAGATTTTGAGTTACGACCCCAATTGAGCCCAAAATGTATGTTGCCAAGTGAAACATTTGTTAAGTGAATTTTGCCCCATTTTATGAAGTTTCTTGCCACAGTTGTTAAGTGAACCACTGCATTTGTTTAGTTAGTAATGTGGTTTTTAAGTGAATCTGGATTCTTCATTGACTTTGCTTGTCAGAAGGTCACAAAAGCTTGTCCATAACCCCAGGATACTGCAACCATCATTAATATGAACCAGTTGCCAAGCGTCTGAATTTTGATCATGTGATCATAGGGATGCGGCAACAATCATAAGATGAAAAACAGTCATAAACCACTTTTTTCAGTGCCACTGTAACTTTGAATGGTCACTAAATGAACTGTTGTAAGTCAAGGACTATGTATTTATATAAAGAAAGATGTGGATGACAAGTTCAGCATATTCAAATTCTGTCTCCCTTTTACTTAAATTTCTTGGAATTTAAGATTTTCTCTCTAATGAAGCAATAAATATATGATACAGAGAGGTAAACTTCGTAATCTAGATAGGATTCCATTCCAAACTTCCATTCCCTGATAATCAAAGATACAAAGTGCCAGTGTATCATATCTTAAAAAGTCCCCAAATTTTATCATTGGTTGACTTATATCACAACCTGCCGTGGCTAAAAGGAATCTACAAGTATTGTCTTCTCCAATTTTAACCCAACCACAACCTTGTAAGTTCTTCAGCTCAGAGAGAATGTCCATTTTCCATAGCTGAGGTAGACCTGAACCTGGATCCCCCAGTTGTGGTTAAATGTTTAACCAGCAATTAAGAAGATCCGGTATTTGGAATACAAATGCCTGTGGAGTTGGGGCAGGTTGATCTATCAAGCATTCCCTTTTCAAATATTCATTCTGTTAGAACACACTACAAATAAGAAGCAGTAGATTACATGTGGATCTATCCAGAGTGCTAATTGTTTATATTACTGTTAATACTTAAAATACATGCTGGTATAACTTTTTACTCTCTATTTTACACTGCACTTCTAAAATTCTTGTAATTACGCAGATAATATTTGGAAAATTACTTCATGTAGCAAGATGGCAATTGGTATCAAGTAATGTCTAAATATATGGGGGTACTTAGTGATTTTATATATTTTATAGGATATAAATAGTATTTGATTGATAATGATCCCATGTTATTTATACTAGTCTGGGACCAAAATAAAGATCAGAACAGGAATATTCAATTAATCACTTACCTTCGCCATCCTCGATCTATAAGATCCTGATAGTCTTGAACAGTCAGTGAATGAGCCCACATGCCTGGTACAAATATTCATATAGAAAATATTCATACAAAATATAGAAAGAATTTTGCTTCGAATCATGAAAAAATCTGCCCCTGTGGAAACCTCCCCATATACATGTATTAATAACCCAATGTTTAAAAGTATGATTGAAACATTTCAAAATTATAAGTAAAATATATAATTAACATTCTGCTACAAGCATGTATGGCTTCCTCAACACATTGTACTTATTTTCATTCATTAGATTACTTATTGTTATGTCTGGCTTCATATAATACATCAGATAAATATGTTCTATGATTTCAGCCAATGAATTAATTTACAGTTCAGTGTGTTAGATGACCCAGGCAATTGGGTCTATTAAATACGCCATGGATTTTGGTGTGCTGCAAAAATACAGCTCTCAAATAAGCTTTCCTGAATCTGAGCACTTTCCAGTTGACAGTTTTAACTCCCAGAATTTGCCAACCAGCATGAACATTGCTACAAAATCTGGGTTAATGCTCTTATTTCTGAAGAGTACTTATGTAGCAGAAGATGCTGTCAGTGGATCTGACAATGCAGTTCTTACTTCAACAGTATTTCCCACAAGACCTCCTTTGACTCCTTTAAATTTAATTTAAAACAATTATATTATTGTAAATATCTGTCACTGGTTTATTTATTCTGTTATCCTCTATTCTACTGTTACCTTGTTTCCATATAACAAATTCATACAACTCTATTTCTTTCTTTAAAATCTATTATTCTCTTTAATATTGGGGGTTGCACAAAACAATGAAGCATAAAAGTACAATAAACACAATCTGAGTGCATATAGTGATTGGCTGGTTTATAGTTCCATGGATGGTGGGAATGCTACACATTTCTATTAATTTCCACTGGTTTCTTGCCCATCTCTCTGTTGTGCGTCTTTACATTAACAACAACAACAAATATTTCATACACATACATACCCAACCCATTCTATATCTGTACCCATGTTCCTGAGAAAATGTGCTGGGGTTTACAAAGGCTTATGGTTTTTTATAAAATGTGCTTTTAGACCCTGAATATAGGTAGTCCTCCAATTACAACAGTTCATTCAGTGACAATTCAAAGTTATAACAGACACTGAAGAGACCTATGACTGTTTCTCTAACTTACGACTATTGCAGCATCCCCATGGTCACATGATCAAAATTCAGACGCTTGGCAACTGAGTCATTTGTGACAAGCAAAGTCAATGGGGAAGCTAGATTCACTTAACTGCAGTGATTCACTTAACAACTATGACCAGAAAGGTCGTAAACATAGGGCATAACTCACTTAACAAATGTCTCACTTAACAATAGAAAGCTTGGGCTCAATTATGGTTGCAAGTTGAGGACTAGCTGTATTGGCTCCCACCCCTGTGATTCTTATTATGCAAGGCAGTTTCTTCCAATTCAGGGGTAGGAATGTCCTTTGGTAGCCAAGGGCTACATAGAGAGGAACCGGGCACAAAATTAAGACAGAAAAGCATCAGATAACTTGTACCTCGCGCCCTGAAAACGGACACCGTGGTCCTTGTCAGAAGCAAACAGGTGCTTCGTTTCCCTCGTTCTGTTTTTCATTCTCACTCTGATAACTTAAATTACAGCCAAGGGCTCGAACTAGAGATGGGCCAGGCAGGGCCCGGCACCTTTTGAGAATTGTGACATCGCTCCGTGAACTGTTTTTAAAAGGATAGCTTCGAGAGGCGCCTGGAAACGGGCTATAGGAGGCACCGAGCGCCGACCGCCTTTTGCCCTCGGCTGAAGCCTAACATGGCCTGAAGTTGTCCCGCTCCGACTCCTCCACGGCCTACCCTTTAAAAGGCATATCAAAGGCAGCCTCAAACGGCAACCAAGAGACTCGCCATTGAGGCAAATGATGGCAAGGCTCGGCTCTCCTCGCCTCTCCGGCGCTGCGTTCTGCTCGGTTCCCGTATCCGATTCGTACCGTGGGAGAAGTTGCCGGTGTCGTTCTTGCAATAGCCGCAGCGGTAGCCGCCGTCTCCCCCCAAGTACTCCACGATGCTCAAGAATCCTCCTCCCGCCATCTTAGTCACCCGGCCGGCTGCCTCCGCCTTTTGATAACCCCGTGTCCGCCAGTCCAACCAGGGACCTCTCGAGCGCCCTAAGCAGCGGCGTCTGCGGCCGCCATTTTAACGAAGGGCAGAAGGCGGCTCGATCGAGCGACGGGGAGGGCCTCCGCTTGCAAGCCCATCTTCCGGTTGCCAAAGGCAAAGCACGGAGCTTCCATTTGCGGGGCCAAACCTGAAGCTAGAAAGGGGAAAAACTCCTTAAAGGCTGATTTTTATCCCTATAAACAGCCTCCAGAAGATTCGCATCCTCGTTCAAGATAACCAGGCAGATTTTATTTATTACTTATTAATTTATTAAATTTGTTTGTCGCTCATCTCGCCGCAAGATGAAGCTATAATAAAAGTGTTAGCCTGCAACAGATTGATAACGGCTGCCTTACTGGGCTTTGGCTTCAAAAACGTTCTGACAGGCAGAATTCCACAGAAACAAGTGCAGGTTATTTTTAAAAATGTGACGTTCAAATGTGTCTGTCTATCTATTCAGGAGTTTTATATATGTATGCATATTAGAAGTTCAGGAACTACTAGTTCTTCTACTTCTTCTTTGCAGTGTTTTAGAAACAACCGGGTCCCTCTATCCAAAGGAGCATAAAGTAAAATGTTGCAGGGTTGTGGTACGTCAACTTTTATCTTCAGCTAAGTAAATACAATGAAAGGTAGTATTGCTGTTATACTGCTAAAGACCAGGAACAAATTGAGGCCTTTTCTCCTTCAGGTGCCAAGATGCTCTGAAGGGATGCCATTTCTTGTACTTCCTCCAGCACCAAAAAAAAAAAAAAGTTAGGATACCCTAAAGGCAGAAATTACAAGTGAACATTTGAAAATGCCTGCCAGTTGCTTCAGGAAGGCACTCTAGGTCCTGTTAGTAAAAGCCTAGTTTTAAATCAATAAAGCCAGTGCATATTGCAATAATGATTGTGCTTTTGTAATGTTAACTTATCTGCCCTTGGATTACTAGCACACATTTCTAAACTCACTCTTTATTGATAAGGCTGATCGTCTTATTGGGCATTGGGTGGCTTTTTTAATGAAGCCTTGGAAGAGAAATTTGGCTAACAAATGGGCAATTAATGTACCTTTTTCCATCTTTCCTTTGGGCTACATTTACTAACCAAGAGACAATTGCTTGGTACTTGTTCAAATAGTCACTGCTGATTGTTACGTAGGGGAGAACAATGGTCATTTGGAGGTTCTTTTTTGCATCCTTATAAAAATAGATCCAATGTGGAGCTTCCCTCAGCATTAGGAAATAATGCCTTCCAACTGCCTAATTCTCTGTCTACAGAGGAAGCGCTTTTCCATACTTTCTGTATATTCTCTTCCTGTATTTTCAACAGATTCAGGAAAATAAATTTGCTTCATTCCTCAACCTTCATCCTGCTTCAGCTCACAGTCGAGGATTCATTGCCTTCTTGTACAAGTGCATTTGGGGGCGGGGAGATCATCCAACACTAAATATATTTCTTAAGATCTTTTCAGGACAATGAATTAACTTTGATGGGACATATGGTGCTGCTGCTGTTTTAAATTTAACAATATTATCAATTTCAGTACAGCAGCAATAAATCACATCAAATGGCACTGTCTGCTGGTTTCCACTAAACTTTTTTTTTCATCCTTTCAGAGCATATCTGTTCATACAAAAACAATGAAGAAACCAGAATACCTTGCATGTACATGTGTCTGGAGTCTTTAATCTGGGAGTTGAACATTTTTCTCAAATGATTTCCCAAATCATTCTTATTTTCTTGCTATATACATCTGTTATATGTGCATAGGGAGATGATTCTTTGTGTCTATTTTTTTTCTGACCGCATTAATATTCATATAATTTGAACCTGACACTCGGACTCCAATGTGTTGTTAGTTTTTATTAAGCACATATTTACTTCTGAGATATGCTGCAGAAACTGGACCTGGCAGGATATGTACATACTCATTTGTCATAGAATGCAATCAGTTATGGGTTTATAGACACAAAGAGAAATATATAGGTAGTCCTTGCTTACCTTTCATTCAGCACGTATTCAGTTATGATGGGGCTGAACAAAACGCCTTATGATTAGTCCTCTAGGCTCTGGCCTTTGCCATTGCCTGGGGTCATGTAAACAAAATTCAGTCCTGCCCATGTTTACAACTATCCTCCCACAGTTGACCTTTGTTGTCTTTGCTGAGTTCACCATCCTGGCCACGCAAGGGGAGATGCTGTAGAAATGTCCTATAGACCAGCAGGTAACAACTATAGGCAGGTGTGTGCTGTACCGCATCCAACTACTGATCAGGGCGTCCTTCACGTATTGCCAAGCCTTCCTTTCACAAAACAACCCAGCTCTGCCAGCACAAAAGGAGCTGGTGCAAATGGCAGTCCTGGCTGCGCCAGTTGTGAAAGGAAACCCTGGCCAGCACACAAAAGAAGGACCCAGGTGGTAGTGGTAGGCAGTGCAGCCAACGGCCAGGGGGTAGGATAGTTGGTGGATCAGTAGGAAGCCAAAAGTGTGGAGATGGAGGGGGAAAATAGGTTGCTGAGAAGAATTGGAGGCAGTACTTTCCCTTCTTCTAAGAATGGCTTGGATCCAGGTGAGTCTTCGCTTAACAACCATGTGGGATTCATTCAATGATTGTCAGAACTGCCCTCCCTAAGTCGAGCAGTTATATTCTTGTGGAAAACGAAAGAACTCTTACGAATTCCAGAGGGGTTTAGCAGAGAAGTTTATTTGCGCAAGGTTCAGAGCATATTAGAGATAGGCAATTCTGAACGAGGAGGGCGGGATTAGACTTCAGTTTTTATACTCCCCTCCTTTCAGGAACAAAGGGACTACACATGGTAATACACTGTGATACATTAGGAGCGTT